CACACACACACACACACACACACAGAGTGCACACACACACACACACACACACACACACACAGAGAGAGAGAGAGAGAGAGAGAGAGAGAGAGAGAGAGAGAGAGAGAGAGAGAGAGAGAGACTTTGTTGCTGTGAGTTCTGCAACTAGGTATCTACCTCTTGTTTTTCTTGTGTGCATGTGTGGCTGTCTATTTGGTTCATGTCTCCTTCTTATGATACGTTTCCTTGTCTGTTCTTGTGCAGCGGGAGTGCCCATGGAGAACTTACTCTACCTAGGGGGACCAAACATTGCAGCAGAGATTTATTCCCGTGAATATGCCAATGCAAGGCTCTGTGGAAGTGAAAAGTGGCGAAAGCCTTTGTCTCGATTCATACGGCAGCCCCATTTTGCTGTATGGGACAACAGTGACCTCGTCACACACGAGGTCATGGGTGGACTCAAGAATGTTTATGCTATTGGAGCAGGTAAGAGAGAGGCACACACATATTCTACTCCGGTTTTTGAATGGGCTCTGTTGGGGCATCTGGGCGAAGAAAGTGTCCCATTCGTACGAGGGATTTGCAATCTTTTGTGAATTTGTCTCCTCTCTTGCCAACTAACTGTTCCCTCCCAATCTTTGGATAATGCAATTTATGATTTGTAGTAGTCTGTTATACTTGTATTCTACGTTGATTCGTTCAATGACAACCATGCGTAGGCGTGCTGGGAGGGAGAAGGTGGTGGGTCGGGGAAGAGAAGAAAAGAAGGGAGTAGTGGATGGGATGAAGTGTGGAGATTACTTGTGGCAGGGAGGAAGGAAGGAAGGAAGGGTAGAGGCGCCAGCTTGTGTGGTGGTGGTGTTTGTGGCTGGGGGAAAGGATGGAATCAGATGTGGGTAGGTTTTCTCTCTGACACCGACATCGTACAGGAATGTGCCTGGTGATGAAACATTCGGTGCAACGTGTCAATCATCCCTCTTTCAATGTGTTGCAGGTATGGTAGGGCTGAGGTTTTTTTTTTTTTTTTTTTTTTTTTTTTTTTTTTTAAACAGAAATTGCAGCTCTGGCTCCTTATCCATTCTGGGGAGCATCAGTCCGGTTACTTCTTTTTTTTTTTTTTTTGCAAGTCAAATAACATAGATGGATTACTCACTCAAACGCTTCTCCCCGTGATGGTTGGGAGATCCAAGAAGGTGACATTGATTACTTCCTTGCAGAGGGATGTATGCCCCCTCACCCCCCTGCCTAAGTTTAGCCTGTGGGGGTACTTGACGGCATCTGACATGCCCCACCTTTAACCGCAGTCCGAACTAGGGTTGAGTTAATTTGTTGGCCGATGTTTTCAGGCTCCGATCTGTTTATTTTCAACACAAGCTCCCCATCCATTCCCCTTTCCCCTCTTTCCCTCCCTTCCCCCTTTTCTGCTCGATGTATCTGTGGTAGGCCCAGGCCATTGCCTGTCTTTGGGTTTGAAGGGCCAGACCATTGTCCACAGTGTACCTGCCATACTTGCATCCTCAATGCTTGTGAGGGGCTGCTGCATCCATGTATGTACCTCTGTTTTGCACAGCTACAGTATTGCGGCCAACAGGTCTTGACATTTTATCGAAAATGGACTGTTTGAGGGTGGCTTATATCTGCGAGTAATGGTCAATCTGCTTGAGCTAATAACTGCGCTTCCTTGAAAATTTATTGTAATGGTCAATCTGCTTGAGCTAATAACTGCGCTTCCTTGAAAATTTATTGTTTTTCTTGTTCCCATTTGTATTGGGATCGCAGGCATTGTTGCAGAGCTGACAAGGGAGAGTGCTACCTGTAAGTCTGTGTATTTTGCACACAGCACATCCGAGATGATCTACATCACACAGCTCCTCACCGAGGAGCCTGAGAGTCTCACTGGACCACTTCTTGCCGATACTTACGTGACTCTGCTCAAGGGAAGGAATGCATGGTATGGACAGCAACTGGCTTCAGGCGTTCTGACCCCTTCAATGGGTGACAGTGTGAAGGGAAAGGGAATGATACAGGGAGTATCGGCAGTTGCGGCATTTCATGATCTCTTGAGCCATGAGAGCTTGCGTGTGCCCCATCCGGAAACGGACCAGAAGGTTCCCCCCATCGAGCTTTGCCCCATCTTAAAGACCCTGTACATGATTCTCCACTCCAGGTGAGTTGTGATCCAGTGATGGGTCATCTAATGTTATAATTGTGATTTGCTTTGCTAGTTCTTTTGCTATTTCTTTCGGACTCCTGAGTCGTATGTATGCCTTGCTTGTGGCCATTGTTACAGAACATATCTTGACAGTGAGTTGTGCGTTATCTATTTCAGCCTAGAGAGACTGCAGGTCGAAACTCGATATTCGTCGAAACCCAGAAATAAACACCTTAGATTCGTCAAAAGTGTGTTCCGCATGGCTGATATATCTCTCTTTAAACCACCAGTACCTCTCCCTGCTTGAAGAATTCGACGAGGCTGTTAACACTCCGCATCGCGCGGGGTGCCCACCGACGTGCGACCGGTAGTCCCCAAAACCCCCACCACCACC